GCTAAAAATGTCACATGCCAAATCTAGCTGAGATGGCTCAACATACATTTCAAAAACGGAAACTGAAATAACCAGAGAGCATCAGCTGCGGCAATCTCATACTATTAAGCTAGACAGAAGTGAGTAGTCTTTGTCGATAGATCTCTATTTTAGCATTTTGTCGAAAGCGCTTTTTTTCACGAATTTATATATTACGATTTTATTTGATGATTTTTTATTTATATCATGAATTATACTGTAGCACATTTCTAATAAGTTTAGCAAATTACATGTCATTTATTTGAATTCAAATTTATTTTAATGACTAAGTATTTACTAAAAAGATGCAATTAAAAAAAAAAGTTTTTATATGAATTTGATTGATTGTTTTGAATTCTTAGAATTTTGTGCATTTGCATTGTACCTAAGTTGCAATGTACCGAGCGAAATGAGCTTGGCTTACGAAGCAAACCATATAAGATTGCGTAGCAATTTTCGGGAGTTGGCGAGCGTTAGCGAGCAGGGGTGACTAGTAACTAAAAGTAGTAACTAACCCACTAGTAACTAAAAAATCAATACTAACTTAAACTTGATGGATTAACTTTTTTTGCTCAATATTTGCTGAAAATAACTTCTTTTTTTTTACATCTTTCATTTTTCCTCTTTAGTTTGATAGAAACTACTTTAGTTTTGTTTTTTTTTTTCATTATCAAAGAAATCGTCATGAAGCCTTTCAAGTTGTTTTCCTGGAGAAAAGGATTCTGTCCCCTATATAAAATCCCTCTATGGATACAGTACCCTCCCCCTACAAACGGACCCTCGGTGCCACAGGCGCACATCACTAATTACCTTTTAGGTCTGAAATGGGTTAGGTGAAAAGAATGAGACACGATTTAGCTTTGAATTTTTATTTATTTTTATAAGAGTGCTTTCAGCGCGAAGAACGCACCTCTACTTTCTTTAGTAGCTCTTTTACTAGCACCTCTAGCTAGCGTTTGGTTTCAGTAGAATCGAGTTAACAATTCTAATTATACTACTGAATTGGTATTTAATATTATTAGTGATAGTTATACCACATTTTCTTATTACATATAGTAACCATCAGTACCAGTGTACTGATATTTTACGAGATATATTTTTAACAAATACCTGGTATACATCACTAACAAAATATACGCATTTATTTCTTAAACTAATTAGTTTAATTATAAATTTACGTCACAAATTATAATTCATTCCGGTAATTAATAAAAGTTGTTAGGATTCATGGGACATTTGATTAAAAATTCTTATATGTCATAGATGAAATTAAATGTATCTTTAATTTGAGTGGTAACAGGAACAGGTAAGATATAAATGCATAACACGAGCAACGTGCTAACATAAAAATATAAAAATAACATAACGTGTTGCTTTTATACTCTTCCAATGTAACCATGTGTAAAAAAATTAAAAAGTTTCGAGAAAAAAAACCTATTTTAATACTTGCACACCTGCATAAGCTATTTTATTCAAAATAAATACTAAATTTAAATGTTGAGTTCTCTTTTCAAGTACTGGAAGTATAAAATAACTGCATAGGAAGTTTAACAAAAAATAAAAATGTTTTATTAAAAAACTACACACGGATGAAATTTCAGGACTGAAAGCATTGTTTTAGGCATTTAGTTCTCAAAACAGCAAAGAAAAGAAAAATCGAAAGGCTGTAAAATATGCAATAATCGTTGCTCTTAAGTAATACATTTTTATATTTTCCAAAAAAGCATGTTTTGCAAAAAGAAAAAATGTCCTTAAAAATAGCAATTAATAAAAATAAAAGATAAGCTTGAGCAATTTGTGCAGCAATCATTCTTTTTTGAAAAAAAGTTTTGAAGCTTTTTAAAAAAGTGCCTAAAACTAGATTTTCTTAAGAAATGCTTTTATTTCATTTTCCTAAACTCGTCGCAATCGCTGATATATTCAAACTTTGATGAAGGAAATGTTATTAAATCCAAAAATCAGGAATAATAAACTATATACATAATAATTCTTACGAAATTGGACTTATATATATCTTATTTATGCGCTATTTTAAAATATCAATTTTGACTTTAGGTTCATATTCAATAATTAAAGGCAATCAGATAGTTTACATTTTACTGTTTATTAAAAAATTCAAATATTATTATAATATATTTACTTACAGAGAAATTAATCTAATTGTATTCCTTAAAATTCTTTGAAACCTTGTTGCAATTGCAGATATGTAACAATTTTGATGACGTGTTAAAATAAATCTACAAATGAAGATTTGCAATGTATTCATAAACTATTATAAAATGAATTGGCATTCCCGATTGCAATAAAATAATGACTTATTTTACCAAAATTGAATGTATATTTTAAATATATCTTAAAATATCACTTATGACTTTAAAGTTCACATTCAATAATTAAATGCAATTATATTTACTTCTTGCTAAAGAATTGAAATATTATTATAATATATTTACTTACAATGCAATTAATCTGATTCTAGGAAAAAAAGGTACCGGAAAAAAAGGTACGGAAAAAAAGGTCCCCGGAAAAAAAGGTCCCGGTAAAAAAGGTACCTGTGTAGGGAAAATTCTGTAGGGGAAAATATTTTAAATGAGAAGATTGGATTGAAGCGCTTTTTGCTGTTCCGTGCATGTTTTTTTGCGTGTCGCGCGTGTTCAAAGAGCTTTTTATCCAACTTTTGTTTCTTATTTATGCATTTATTCTTAAAAAGTTAATTAAATATGAAAATGTTCAATAAAATTGTTTATTTATTTTCTAAGATCATGATTCTACCGGGAATCTTGACTCTTATCTATTGAAAAAGTGTTATCAGGCTACATGAAACTTTTAGGGGAGGGGGAGTAAAATTAATGTGTTTCGCTTATAACGCTTCTAATAGAAATTTTTTGACAGGT